GTTCACCACGTAACTGTCCAACCTGGTGCGGAGTGCAGAAGAGGTCTGGTTCTCTGGGAAGATATGTGCCTGTGAATTACACGTACAATTTCGAAGCTCAAAACGGACTTTTGAGCTATAGCTTACTTATCAATTTTTTTCTAGTTTTCGGGAAGGGGCATTAGTCTATAATTTTTTCCTATTTTTCGCTGACCCTCTCGGATTTATGAGGCCATGTGAGAGGAATTATGTATCTTATTTATGGTCACACCCACGTTTGGCGTGACCATAAATCTCCCCCATTGAAGCTCTGCAGAGTCACCTCAAGTTCCATAGTCTCCTGTGTGCAGTGTTGGTGGGGGTGGTGGGGTTGGGTAGGAGGGTGCTGGTCGGGGGTGCTGCACACAATGCTGGAACAAGAGCCCCTCCCCCCCCAATGACCTTCCCTCATGGGTGAGCTGGTGGGTGGGTTACTTCCTGACCTTTGAAGGACAGCCAGTCAGTCTCCCAGGGGGCTACCATACAGGACAAATGAAACTCCCAGCCACGCCTCCCGCGCCTCCCACGCCAGCTCTGGTCTGTCCAGAGGGAGGCCAGGGCTGGAAGGCCATCTGGCTGCCGGGGAAGCCTGTCCACCGGTGGCGTTGGACACATTTAATCTCGCCCAGTGGCAAACACACAAAGCCCAGAACCTTGGCACTCGGATCTATTGACCCGGGACAAGACTTCCATCTCGAGATTACTCCCTTCAAGGTCTAGCGCTCGGCTCGCCTTGGCTGCCAGCCATGGTCACCTCTCGGCCGATAAATCTTGATAGCAGCCTCCAGAGATGTCGTTACCATTCATAGAAAAAGATTATTTCTCCGTTAAACCCCACGTTTAATTTTCTCATGATCTATCTTTTCCAGCTCTCCAGAGCTGGCCACGCACACAGCTGTAAATCCCGGGTCATCTGCGGGCGGCCCACAAGAGTCCCTTCGATTCCTTACCCTGAGCGGTCAACATGGCCACTCTTATAAAACCAGATGAGGCCATAAGGGCTGTGTGGGAGAGTGACAGCCACCTATCCCTAAGGTTGGTGGTTCAAACCCACCAGCTCTTCCGAGGGAGAAAGCTGAGATTTTCTGCTTCCATAAAGATTTGTAGCCTCTGAGCCTGTGTGGGGTCACTGTGGATTGGAATCCAGTGGATGGTAACGGCCGTGTGGTTTTAGGGTGCAGTTTCTCAGTGACTGGTGAGCTAGGACCTGAGAGTCACCATTAGTGACTAGACTTCACGGAGCAGGCTGGAGGTGAGGTGGTACCAGCTTGGCTCCCTCTCCTTGTGTGGGAGGCAAGTCCTGCCCCCGGGCAGTGGGGACAGGGGGACATGCTTGTTGCCTTCTGGGGCTCTCCCCACCTCGATGAGGTCCTGTGAGAAGAGGATTCAGAGACAGGAAAAGGGGTTCCCTGGACTATCACAGACAGAAGAATCAGTCAGAATGCCACCTGAGGGACACCCCAACAAGTAGGAACAGAGGCGTCAGTGGGCAGACACCCACCCGCACCCTCCCACCCATCCCAAAAGCAGGTGCAGGAGTCTGCTTCCTCAGTGGTGACCTGGTGGGGACTTGAACCCAGGAAATGGGGAGGGACATGCATCCGCCCAGATGCGGTCCCATGTGACTACTGAGGGACACGGAGGCCTCCCAGATGGGGTCTTCCATGTAGCCCTCATGCTCTGACTGTGGGTTTTTCCTCGGAACATGTGTGGACTGAGGGATCAGAGCTGCCCCAACAGCAGAACAACTGCCCGTCCACTTCTGACCTGTATCCTGTCCCTAAGCAATGGGGGCACAATGTTTGGGAGATAGGATGGCAGGTGAGGCTGTAGCTGGGTAGGGACCCCTCTTGGACGTAGCCTCCCAAGTACAAACTCACACGTGTAAGCTCTGAGTGGACACGTACCTCCCTGAGATGCGTATCAGGTGTCTCAGTGTGACAGGCCCCAGTCTGCAGCCTCCTAGCTCAGCTAAGAGCAACTTTATTCTTCCCATGACTCAGGCCCAAATCCTTGCAGACAGATGTGACCTCCCTAAAAAGACCTTGTTTGGAAGTAGAGTCTCTGCAGATGTCATCTGTTGATGAGGTCATGCTGGGGTAGGGTCTGATGGGTGTTCTTAGAGACACACCTCTGAGACGGTAACAGAGGGAAGGTGGGCATGTGATGGCAGAGATTTGGGTGATGCAGCCACAAGCCATAGAATGCCTGGGAGAGAGCAGGAAAGATGCTCCCTAGAGCCTCCAGTGTTGATGTCAGACTCCCAGAGCACTGAGAGGACACTGGGCACTCTCAGAGCTTAGGGTCCAATCCATCCCAGATCTTGTTGGTTCTACCTCAACAGCGGGTGGTACTGTAGGATCAGCACTGGAATACGAACTACAAGGTCAGCAGTTTAAACGACCCTTTACAGGGTGGCTATGAGTCAGTATCAACTCCTGGATACTTAACAACAGCCTTCCTGCCAATACCACCTTCCTTTCTCCTGCTTCCCCTTGTGCCCCTTCGACATGGCAGCCTGAGGGGCAGAACCATGTCCCACCCAAAGCCGTCTGTAATCACTGTTTGTTGTGGATGTTGTTAAGTGCTGTTGAGTCCATTCCGACCCATAGAGACCCTGTATAGGGTTTCTGAGGAGCAGCTGGTGAGCTTGAACCGCCAACCTTGCCGTTCAAACAGCTTTGCAGTCTGGTGCATTAAACCTGCATTAGAGCTTAAATTCTCAGGTGCTGGTTTGTGCTGAACTTTACACTAGGAGCTCTAACTCCATCTAAAGTCTTGACAAAGGCCCAGACTCTACTTGAGTTCTCGATGTTACGTTTGCCAACCGTGAAATCTGCAATGTGGTTCTGCTTAGACAAATTAGGCCAAGTCCAGGGAGGAGCAGTTTTGCTCCCAGGCTTTGATAGAAAGAACTCGGGAACTTGCTTAGATGCTCCCTTAATGAGTTACTGAAAATAACCTGATGTTAGCTAACTGAAGGTGGTTGGGGCCCTGGTGACGATGGCTTAGGGCCTCATGGTCTTGAGTCAGGCCACCATGTACCAGACAAGCCAATTCCCAGAATCTCCTGTGAACCTGAAATCTTATCCCAATCATGGTCCTCACCCCACTTCTGGGCTCTATTCTGTTTGGGGCTCATTCAGGTTTTTGATGCGTCTTTCATGTTAGGTAAGTTTTCTTCCAACAATTCTTCAACAGTTTTCTCTCTCTCTCTCTTTTTTTTTTTTCCTTTTGTCTCTTCCTGTTCTGTAACTCCAATCACACGTTATTTCTCTTGGTGATGTCTGTGGCAGTTAAGGGTTTTATGTGAACTTGACTGAGCCCGGATTCTCAGTGGCTTGACAGTTGAGATGTAGCTATCTCCATGATGAGATTTAATAAAATGTGATCAGCTCTATGTATGGGAGCCTGAAATCTGAAGCCCATGGTTGTGGATGACTGTGATCTATAGTAGAAACCCTAATTCCATTTTGATTCTAGACACAGGTTCAGACTCCGTTTGAATTCTGTATGCTGTTTCTCAGTGCTTGCTGGACTTCTAGTGTGGCGCTGTAGGGTAACCAGTGAACTGTTAACCACAAGGTTGGTGGTTCAAACCCACCACCTACTCCTCAGAAACTCTATACAGAGCTGCTGTGAGTCAGAACCAACTCGATGGCACCTAACAAGATTTGTTGGACCAACAAAGGACAGTTACTGAAAGCTGTACCAGTAATCATTGAGAAAACATTCAGGGTGATTTTGTCATTTTTAGCAAGTGTAAGGGAAGGTGAAAAGTTTACTGATTTGTACTCTTATGTTTACTGGTGATGGTGATGTTCTGATGACATGTTTGTACATTTTCCACATTTGGTCTTTTGTTTGTGTTTGTTGCAGAATAAAATCTCTTTTCTTCACGACTACAACTTCGTGGTGATTTTACCCTAGGCGAACATATTCTAAATTCAAATTTTTATTTGTTTAAAAACTCAGTCAGCCATAGAACAAGGTGGGTTGGAACCTCAGAGTTAACTCCACTTCTCTTTCGTTTTGCCACACAGTTTAGTGAAAATCTGATGTGTCTAAAAACTAGTTTGAAATAGCAACTTACAAAGTCAGATCTCCTGTTCTAAATCAACAAAATCAGAGGCTGACTTATTTCTTAGGTTTGCAACAATAAATGACCCACTTGGCACAAAATCCAGCTGCCTTTTTGTGAGTTTTCCACATTTCTTTCATACTAACTTTCATATTAAAGAGTCAGGAGCAAAAAAATAAATAAATAAAAATAAAAACATTTAAAAACAACAAAAAAAGTCAAGGTCAGGGCGTCCTGATAAAAGACAGCTACACTGGAATTTTGCATTGTTGTTGTTGTTAAGTGTCCATAGCGAGTCGGTTCCGACCTATAGCGACCCTGTACAGGGTTTCCGAGGGTGTAAATCTTTACAGGAGTAGAAAGCCTCATCTTTCTCCCGTGGAGCAGCTGGTAGTTTTGAACCGCTGACCTTAAGGTTCGCAGCCCGATTCGTAACCACTACGCTACCAGAGCTCCTTAGCAATTCTGTATAGGGTTTCCAAGGAGCATCTGGTGGGTTTGAACCACCGACCTTGAGCTTAACAGTCCAGTGCTGATCCTATAGCAACATCACACCAGGACTCTGGAATTTCTCGTAAACAACTCCAAATACGTCCCAGTAGATTTACATTCAGATATGGGCCATATTTATGCTAATATCTGGAGACCCTGTAGCTGAAATGCAAATGTGAGTGGGGGACTGTATTTTTACGTCCTAGCTCTGGCCACCCTACCCAAGGATTCTGGTGTTCACGGGGACAGGACGGGGGCGCGCACGGTCGGGCGGGGCGTGGGCGGAGCCCGATGCGGAGAGATTAGGGTAAAGTGCTAGGGGGCGCGCCCTGCGATGTGGGTTGACTGGGCGTGGCCTGGGTGGACAGCCGTTCTGGGGGCGGGGCCTAGTGGGTGGAGGCGGAGTTTGATGCGTGCCAGCGAGCTGGAGGCGGGACCGGCGTGCGCGGGGACCGGGTATGATGCTCTAAGCCTAGGCGCCGGACGAGGCGGGGTCGATAGCGCGCAGGGATAATGGGGCGGGGCCTGGCGAGTCCGGGGCGGGGCCAGGGCGAAGGGAGGGGCGTGCGCGGCGCCGGTGACGGAGCTTGCCAGGGTGAAAGGTCAGAGGTCCGCGCGCACTCCCAACATGGCGGTGGCCGAGGCGGCGGCGGCGCGCAGCCCGGGATCCCGTGCAGAACCCGTGTCCTCGCCGCGGGCTGAATGGCCGCCGTGGGTACTCGTGCTACTGGCTGCCACGGTGGCCGGCCCAGGGCCAGGCCGCGCGACCCAGCTGTACCGGTCGGGCGAGGACGCCGTGTGGGTGCTGGACAGCGGCAGCGTGCGCGGCGCCACGGCCAACAGCTCGGCCGCGTGGGTCGTGCAGTTCTACTCGTCGTGGTGTGGCCACTGCATCGGCTACGCGCCCACCTGGCGGGCCCTGGCCGAGGACGTGCGAGGTGAGGCACCCGCCCCGGCACAGCCTGGACCGACCCCGCCATGCCCCCTAGCTCCCAGCCCTGAAACACCCATCAGTAACCCCCGGACCTGTCTATCCCTTCCGAACCCACACAGCCAGGAGCCCCGCCCCTTGAAGTCCCCCCTGCACCCCTTCCTGCTCTGAGTAGCTGGCTTTTTGGGTCGCCAAGGCCCCTGGACTGAGACTCGCAGCACCTGGTCTGACGCTCGTCCTCTAGACTGCTGACCGTTTATGTGGCCAGTATTGTTGCGTTTACACGTTGTGCAGATGTGGCAGGGTTGTGGGGAGGGATTGCGGGTTTGCAGCATCCTCCCGCTCCCTAGAATGTCCTCTCAGGTCTAAGAAGTTGCTGCTCAGCGCAGGGCCGGGCCATATGCAAGCGGCGAGCTTACCTCTAATTATGCATTTTGATGGGAAAGAGAGTTTACAAATTGCTACCTTTCTTCCTGTACCTTTCACATCTTTTTCAACTCGTACCTAACCAGATTGTTTTTGTCTCTCATATCTAAACAAACTGAACTTTTTTCCCAAGTCTAAACAGGGCTCTTGTACCACGGGTCAGTCAAAAAGTGTTGGGATTAGCATTCCAATTCATACAGGTTTATTGCAAAGTGTGTTGAAACGTGTCCTTTCCCTCGGTTCTCTCAGGAATACACTTGTCTCCGTCTCATTAGGGTGCCTTCAGAAAAACAGTCCTATCAAAACAGTGGCTTTTGAGAGGGTTTGCTGGGCTGGTGAAATTCAAGCCACAGAGGTCAGCTCCGAAAGTTTGGCAGCTGATGATTGGGATTTCAGAGGGGTCGTCTTGATAGATTTTCTCCAAGAACCCAGGTTGGTCATGGGAGCCCATCAGGAAGAAGTTTTAAGAAAATGGAAAACTGCATTGGTGAGGAAAAGGACAGAGAAGGGGAACTGAGGGTTTCCATCCATCCAACAATGCGCCTTCTTATTGTTTGATGGGAGTGAGGACTGTCTTAGGAAGACTGCATTCAGGAACCTTACCCTATCCACCCTACAACTCTGATCTTAACCCCTTCAGACATCCTTTTGTTTTCCAAACTCAGAGGACTAATTTAAAAGAAACCTGATTTCAGCACAACTGCCGTTGTGACGTGGTGTACATTGAAGAGCACAGAATTCTTCCAGGAAGGGTCAGAGAGTTGGAAATGCCGCCTTCTGAAGCATATAGACCTAGATGCAGGAGCGGTGCAGAAACTAGGCCTTCTCGTTTTGATACTTTTGATTGATGTAGAGCATCAGAAACCCTGGACTGGGTCGCCATGAGTTGGAACTGACAGGATGGCAGTTAACAACAGCGCAACAACCTTGTAGATTGCCCTCGTACTTCATTATGAAAGGTTGTCTGTACAGTGCGGTCTCCTCTTAGGACCCTTGTGGCTTTGTGTTCTCTTTGAGCGAGTGTGTGTCAGGAGCTCCTTGGTGTTCTGCAGAGACAGTGAGAACGGAAAATCCTTAGTGGGTTCTGAGTTGGTTGGTTTGGGTAGTCTTGGCTTTTAGGGAATAAAACTCAGTATTGGGAATTGTTCCAGCTCATTGACTGTAATCCCCTCCAGGTGACATCAGCTGTTTCCCGGCGTTTCTGGTTCCATTCCTTCTCCTCTCCCCACCCTTCTGAATGTTGTCCTTAGGTAAATGCCACCTGATTTATCTCCAGTGGTTGACCGTTCTGTGGTGTGCTACCTCACTAGTGTTGTACTCCCCCCCCGCCCCCCAGCATATCTATCGATTGCATGGCTGAAAACAAAGCCACTGGGGTGAGTTCAGTTCTGGATCTGAAGGGTGACAGTCTCGGGCTTCCTCCAGTCTGTGTCACTGATTTTTGCATGTTGGTTTTGGTTTTCGGATCTGAACTACAAGAAATGTCAACCAGAGTGTGATCCCGCAGACTCTAAAGGCGGTTCAGCCGTGGGGAGCCTTGAAAATGTGGAGTCCGTTCCAACTTACAGCATCCTGCATAGGGTTCCCCAAGCTTTCAATCGTAGACGGGGCAGAAAGCCTCATCTTTCTCCCGCGGAGTGGCTGGCAGGTTCAAAGTGCAGACTTTGTGGTTCACGGTCCAGTGCTTATCTAATGGAACCACTGCATTTCCCAGCGAGAGCAGTAGGACCAGAAAAGAAATACGAAGTGTCCCAGCAGAAAAAGGTTGATGACATGAACCTGTTTGTAGAAAATCCCAAAGATTCCACGAGAAACCTTCTAGAACTCAAAAAGGAATTTAGCAAAGCTGTAGGGTACAGACTCCACAAACAAAAATACACCAGCAAATACAGTCGCATCTAAGAGGCTAAAACGCCTAGGGATAAGTTTCGCCTGTACGTGGAGGCTTTACGTGATGAAAGCTGCCGAAAGAGGTTACAGAAGTGGAAACGGAGTCCGTCTTCATGCATTGGGAGACTTGACAGTGGCCCCAGGAAAAGGCTCCCCCAGTGTACCAGGGTCATCTTAGCAGGGCTGCATGCCCAGGGCCAAGCAGGGCCAGCAGGCCCAGGGGAGAGGGCTGTGTCAACAGGTGGCCAGGGTTCCAAAGAGCCAGACTGTGAGGGAGTGGCGGAGCTGGCTGCCGAGCCGGGGCAGTCCCCAGGCCCTGGACTCTGGTGGTACTGCGCTCACAGCACCCTAGCTCCCCTGTGTGTAGTTCGTGATCCTTCCTGTTCCGTCACTAGTGATTTGGGGCAGCCCCACCAGTCCCCTTGGGGCATGTGGACTGTGGCCTGGCCCCTGAAATCAAGAGCAGCCACCAGCCTCAGAGGCTCCTGCCTGCCACTGCGTTCCCAGGGGTTCCCCATGCTGTTCCCCACTCTTCCCTCAGACTCCAGGGGCCCTCCTCTCCTAAAAACTCTGATAGGGCTTTCTGGGGCTCATCTGTGCCTTGGTATTTCCCTGCTTTGAGAGCAATGTTTTTTTCTTAAGCCAAGGGAGACAGCTTAAACAAAAGGTCCACTGTTGGGTGAGGTCAAATGTCACCCTGGCATTTACGTAGGTCTGTCACTTCTGAGGACTTAGCAAAACAAAACCTCTGCTGCTCCTGAAAATTCTGTGACCTGGGGCTGTGGCGGTCAGTTCCATTTGTACAGCTGCCAGCTCCCTGGGTGACAAGGTGGGGTGCCTGCCCTGGAGTGATTCCACTCGCTGCTGTTGGTGTACTGGGCTCCAGGAGCCTCTGAAATCACCTGGGGTGGGGGGGTGGGCTGAGCAAAGAGGTGTGTCCTGGAATTGATCTCTGCCCCCAGCCTCAGCTCAGAAGCCCAGAGTCAGAGAGGAGAGGGTGGACAGGAGGCAGGGGGCTCCATGCGTGTCTAGGGACGGGTCAGGTGGGGTGGGGGTGTGCTCGGTCCCTGGGTGCTGCGGACCTGCTCTGGGTTCGGCTCTGCTCACTCTCACCAGGTCGCAGCTTGGGTCCTCCGAGCACACTCCCCACCGCACCCCCGTGCCCTGCTTGCCGCTCTGTTTGCTCCAGGTCTGGTGAGCTGTCAGAGCGGCTGGGTACAGATTCTGCCAGGACACCATGAGTCACCTGTAATCTGGGCTTCCCGGTACCGAGAGAAGTGCTGTGGACACTCGCTAGCAGTCTGTGAAGTGTGTCCTAGCATGGAGGGGTGTGAACGAGTGTGAGGGTGACCCCAGGGGCACACAGGCTGGAGGTACCCGCTGTGGGGCTAGAGGCGCTGGGGCGGCCACACTCCTTCCGTGTGTGTGTGTGTGTGTGTGTGTGTGTGTGTGTGTGTGTGAGAGAGAGAGAGAGAGAGAGAGATACAGGGGTGAAGGGAGATGTAGCTGCACTTGGCTCACAGCAAGGAGTGTGGGGGGGGGTGGGCGCTCAGGGACGAGGACTATGGTGGCAGATGCTAAGCAGGCAGGACCGCAGCCTTGGAAGGTGGCGGGGGTGTGAGGTCAGCAGGCAGCTACATCCTCTCCTGTGACCTGGAAGTGGCTGTACGTGGCCCCTGCTCCTCAGACAGGTGGTGACTTAGTTTCCCAAAGACCCTGAATGTTGCGCCTTGTGCTGGGCATGTGGGTGTGAGTTTCCAAACTCACCAGGGGGTCTTAGCAGACACGCCTGGAGAAAGCTGTGGGGTCAGGGCGCCCACCAGCCTGGAACCCTTTTGCGGCCCTGTTCCAGATGACTCTTCATCCTGCTCTCTGCTCGTGCCTCAAAGGTGTGCCTTCGGCATTTCATTGATGAGCGATTGTTCCCTGTCCGTGTGGCTGGTGACACATGGACACCACTCAGGCCTGTGGTCTAGTGCCCTCAGCCCTGCGGGCCTGCCTCCAGCTGGCCATTAGAACTTGGAGTCCACTCAGAAGGATGTGCCTGGGGGCCGAGTGGGTCACTGGGAGGAAGCCAGCTCCAAGTGCCTGTCACGTTCCTGTGAACTCCAAAGCGAGTTCGTCCGCATGGTGACGTGGGAGCGCTGAGTGCTGCTGCATAGTGAGTGGGGCCACGCGTACTGGTGGGAGGCGTGACGCTAACACAGCTAGCTGGCAAGGACGTGGAAATGAGGTGTGGTATTCTCACACATCCTCCTTCCTCCTCAAGTACCCAAACAGCCAAGTTCATGAGCATGAGTGGGGATCGGACGTGTGGTCTACTGCCATCCCAGGACAGCTGGCACACCTGACCCCATGTGGATCCGGGCTGGCCTGCCGGGATAGCTGAAGCAGGCCGTTTGCACCCAGCTTTATAGTGTGTCTCCGCCTTGAAGGTCGAGGCATCGACAGCTGGGAGAGGCAGGACAGGGGAGGGTGCCGGTTGGACGAGGCAGAGACCCTGAAGCTAAACCTTTGAAACGCCTGCGCTTTATTTGGCAGTGTTGACTGTTGCATCTTTTGTGTGGCTGTGAATGCCGTCCATCTGCTGGGGACTCTCAGTCACTGCTGCTGTCTCCTCAGCAGCAGGCGGGCCACTAACATTCTCAGCATCTGCTCCAGCCTCCCCCCACCCCTCAACATACACACAGCCACCGCCAAACAAAGGCCTGAAAAGTCAGCGTCCCCCAGGATGGCTGGCCAGGGGGCCAATGGGCTGGGTTTGTCCCGAGCATGGATTGCAGATGGCCTGTTGGTTCCTGGTTGTCGCCTGTGTGCACAGGCTGTGTGTTTGAGGGCTCGAGGATACTCGGGGGCCGGCATTGACTCCGCAACAGTCTGACATAACTCCGTGTGCTGAACTAACACAGAGAACAGTCACGAACCAGAGACAGAGCCTGGCCTGCAGACAGTCAACAGCAGAAGTGGCCAAGACATTGGTCACTTACAGTGACATGAACCAGGAAGTTGGCCCAGTGCTGGGCAGTCAGGGAGGCCACAGAGGGCGGCATCTAAGGCTTAGGGCAAGGTCTGTGCCACATGGAGGGACACGTCACACCGATCCCCGCTCTGTGACAGCCTGTCGTCGGGGAGAGGGGGTGTCTGCTCTGGACTTGTCCTCGAGCATCAAGGAGCCAAAGGGGAGCTGTAGCACCCAACTTTCATGTATAAAGTGGTCTTTGGAGGCTGAGAGCAGGGACCCAACAGGGAGGGATCAGTGGGAAGCCAAGAGGGGTTTGGGGGCTTGGTGGAGGGAGAGCGGTTGATGAAGGTTTCCCCGGGGAAGAGCAGAGAGACCCACCTTCCAGGGCGGACTGAATTTCTGGTTGGTGTTGATCACCTTTTTGTCAGAACATTCCAAACAAAATGCTACTGTATCCTCCAGGCCTAGGGCCAGCAGAGGGCCAGCCCTGTGTGGAAGCTGTGACCTTACCGAGGACAGAGGACTGCCAGACAAGAACATCTGAGACACTGGGCTCCCATGATAGTGCTGTAAACTGGGAAGGCCCTGAAATCTGCATTGATGGGAGGCAAAGGCCCTGGGGCAGGCGAGCTCTACCGGCCTATGCCTGGAGAGGCGAGGACTGGTCAGCTGAAGCACTTGGCCAGTGTTGTGGACGAAACCTTGGGAGCTCATGGGGACATACAAGAAATGGACCTGTGTGTCCATCCTTCCTCCTGACTCCAAGATTTTGAGAATTAGATGCTCAGTTTTGGAATGCCCACTTTCTTATAGTGAAAAGGCAGCAGAGGGGGCCCCGGGTTTGCTGCACAGCCGGGAGCGTCTGCTTGGGGCAGACCCCATACCCTGGAATCCGCAGCAGCCAAGTGTGAAGACAGCAGCGTGCTCAGAGCCATGTGCTTTGTGGTGGGCTGGAGAGGTGAGGATGTAGGGGCAAGGAGACCAACTGCTAGGCCTGGTGGTGACCTGGGCCTGCAGGACCGAAGCTGGGCCCTGTATGTGGGAGGAACGCTATGGGGTCTGCTCTTGACTGGCAAGTGCCCCGCCCAGGGCTGAGAGCCGTCTCCCAGCCAGGGAGTCAGTTCGCCAGATGAGTGGGAGCAGAGCTGGGCTGGCATGCGGGCTCGGGGGGCCACATGACCTACTGCCTGAGGTGCTCCCGGACTCAGTGGCAGCTGCCACCTGCTCCCTCATTGTTGAGAGTATTAACTGTTCTTCTGTAGCTAGACGTGATAGGAGACGCAGAGATGTGGCCTATGATTCTGGAAAGGCTGGGCCTGCCCTTGGTCTCCACAGCTCACTTGAATGGCCGCTGAGCTGCAGACTGTAGGGGCAGCGCTTGGCTGCCAAGTGAGGGAGCCCCTGGGCTCTGTCCTGAGAGTCCATACACTTTGTCATCAGAGGGGACAGGAACCTGTTTTAAGTCAAGATGGTGAATGAGGTGGGAGGCAGCATCCAGGAGCATCAGTCCACTCACACCTGTGTCAGGGACATCCCTGCCCCCAGAGGATCTTAAGTCTTCCTTACTACCTGCCTGCCCGGGATGGGGTGGGGCGGGGAGGTTGGCGAGTTGATGGGGTGCCACTTTAACGTTCTAGAGGAAGGAGGGCCTGGTAGGTCCACCGGCTTCCTGCCATCCCTGCTAGAGCTGTCCCTCTGCTTCTGTAGGTGTCCCAGCTCATGGTGGGGGGCAGGGGGCTGACAGCCTCACAGGAAGGGGCAGCTGCCACCTGGGAATGTCCCCAAGAACCAGGCGCAGCCCAGCTCTCCATGTCAGGGAGAGGGGGCAGCAAGCAAGATCCACCTGCTGGGAGACTGTAGGCCAATGGAGCCATGCTCCACAACGGACCACAAGACAGAGGGATGGACGGGGGCAGTGGACACAGACCCAAGCGGCCCTCCTGTGGGTCCTGAGGCAGATGGGAAGATAGCGAAACGTGATGCCTAACTAGAGGGCTGGTGGGGTCGAGCAGCATGTGTGTGTGTGTACGTGTATGGGAGTGGCTGTGTACGGGTATGTATATGTATAGGCATGTGTGTAAGCGTGTGTATGTAAGAGTGTGTCTGTTGAAAGTGCCATGGGCTGCCAAAAGAACCAACAGATCCGTGTTGGAAGAAATGCAGCCAGAATGCTCCTTAGAGGCCAAGATGGCCAAACTTCGTCTCTCATACTTTGGATATATTGTCAGGAGGGACCAGTTGCTGGAGAAGGGTATCATGTTTGATAAGGTGGAGGGAGGGTCAGAGACAAAGAGGAAGACCCCTAACGAGATGGATTGGCCAAGTGGCTCAGGCGTGACAACAATTGTGAGGTTGGCCCAGGACTGGGCTGTGAAAGTTTCGTTCTGTTGTGCATAAGGTCACAATGGGTCGGTACCGACTCGATGGCACCTAACAACAACAACATGTACAGGAGTGTGCCTGCGTGAATATGTGTGTGAATATGCATGTGTGTGCTCGTGTACGCATGCATGGGTGTGTGTGTGAGAATGCATGTGTGTGCTCGTGTACGCATGCATGGGTGTGTGTGAGTGCATGTGTGTGCTCGTGTACGCATGCATGTGTGTGTGTGAGAGAGAGAGCAGGCATGGTGTGGGGTGGAACGGTAGTGTAGTTGTGGTCAGGGAAGAAGCCTTACTGTTCGAGGGGCAGGCATATGCTAGCTGTCTTTGACTTGCTTCTGGGGATCCTTGGAGTGGGTGGGGGTGTGGCTGTGAACTGGTCATCGCTGTCACTGAGATGTGTTCTGTGACTACGTGTGTGAAATTTTCCATGTGAAAATGGTACAAACAACGATGGGAAAAGATACCACTTGCTCTGTCTGCTCCCAAGAATGGCAGTTTTCAGGGGGAGGGTTAGAAGCTCCATGCCGCTCGGTGCCCCCTGGTGGGTGGTCAGGCAGAGCAGTGATACGTCCCCCTGTGCCAGCCTCTGCGTATGAGGACACTGGCTGACCAGCTGCTGAGGGACTCGAAGGGTCAGCAACATCAGACTGCTCCGTGGTCATCACCGGCAAGGCGTGAGGACCATGTGTGACTTGTACCTGGGCAGGGCCCACGGGGACACTGAGGTCACTCCCCTGCTTTTCAGACTGGGCTGCTGCCATCCGCGTGGCCGCTCTGGACTGTGCGGAGGAGAAGAACCTGGAGGTGTGCCGGACCTACGACATCCACTTCTACCCCACCTTCCGGGTCAGTGCCCTTCCACACAGCACCTCTCGGAGGAGCCCTGGGGCCCTCACACTTCCGGCTGCTTGTTGAAATTTATGGTTTATGTTCAGACGGTCACAGCACCCTGCTGGCACAGGGGTTGACGTGCGGCTGACCGGAGGGTCACTCAGCGGGAGAAGGTGGGGCAAGCAGTCTGTAGCTGTCAAGATTTGCAGCTTCGGAAGGCCTGGGGAGCACTTCCTCTCTGTCCTACGGGCCAGTTACAAGTTAGGCTCGATGTCAGTGGCTCTGTAGGGTAATTGTTGGGCTTTGAACCACAAAGTTGGCAGTTCCAGCCCACCAGCTGTTCCGAGATGAGGCTTTCTGCTCCCGTAAAAATTTACTCCCTGGGAAACCCTATTTAGGCTCACTGTGAGTGGGGACTGACTTGACAGTGCTTAACGACAGCCAGAAAAGACATTCCTCACACGTGGACACACATCCACACATGGGCCATATACACGTGGGCATGAGCAGGTACATTCACACACGTCTGTGCACATGCACACATAGACTCCCACACCATACACAGTTTCCCAGCATCACATGCACACACATGGACACAGACACATGTGCACATACCCAAACATGGACACAGTTACATGTGCAGTCACATGCATACACAGAGACGTGTGTACATCCTCACCTGCACACACACGGACACAGAAACCTGCATGCACACCCTCACACACCTGGATACAAGCTTGTGTGCACTCACACCCTCACACACACAGGTTCACAATGTAGGAAGTGACCACGTGGGCCAGTGGAGCCCGAGGCTGTAAGGGCAGCCCAGGTCCGCTGAGGACACGGGTCCCCAGGACGAGAATGGGACGGGACCTGTGGGGGGTGGAGGGAGAATTGGTGTCAATTCTGTCACTGGCTTGTAGCACACCTTGATTTGTCATGGTGGCTTGTCTGTGGGTTTCCTCCTTACTTATGGCCTTGGGGACAGGGACACTCTTCATGTCTCTAGAGCTCTGTGACAGGCGCCTGGGCCTGGAGTAAATGTGGGAGCTGCAGCCTGTGTCCAGGGCTGGCCCACATTGTATCTGCTGGACACTTGGGAGTAGCCACTACACCCAATGGCATAGTCCTCCACCAGGGACAGGGCGTGTAAATGCCTCCTGAAGGGAGTGAGGCAGCAGGTTGGAGAAGCCCCCACACAGCCTGCACGGGTGTCCTCCAGTGACGCACACTTGCTGCTGTATCCCAGTCTGCGTGCCCCTCTGCCCTGTGTCCTTCACACACACACCCATCCCCCATTGTGGGCATCGTCGGGTGTCCCCAGACCTCCATCTGTGGTCATGCCCATCTTCCTGCCCTGAGTCCCAACACCACGGGTTTACTTCCCAGTAGGGAGCTGTCACTGGCCTTGCCCCAGACATGAACGTGTGTTTGTATGAGGAAACTTGTTAGCCTCCTCTCGGCTGAGGACATGGGCGTGTCTCTGTCTGGTCATCTCTCTGCTGAGGACATGGACATGCCTCTGGTCTGGGCGTCTCTCAGCCTCAGGATTGATGTGGAACGCTCCAGAGCAGGTGGATGGAGCCCTCTGTCCAAGCTTGTTGGGTCAGAAACCTAGTGACGGATACTCAGCCTCACTCACTGCGTCCAGGACGATAGCCTGTCTGTCCCTTTACTGTCAGATGCAGGTGTCTAAACAAGCCCGTCTGACGCGTCCTATGGTTTCCCTCCTAGTATTTTAAAGCATTTACGAAGGAGTTCACCCCAGGAGAGAATTTTAAAGGTAAGAACCTATGCATTGCTTTGTAATCTAAGAGACCCACCTCCCAACTGTATGAAAGCAAACGTTATGGGTGCCTTGTCTGCCCCCACCACCCCCACCCCCCGACAGCCTTGCTCACTTGTCTCTATTTTTTTTTTTTTTTTATTGTGAATTATGTGATAGTTTACATGGGAGAACATTAGCTTTACATTCATCCTATCGTATATTGTTTTATTGCCATGGTTACAATCCCCTCCATGCATCATCAACCAACCAGAGGGTATACGCTACAAGCCTGCTCTTCCTCCTCCCCCCCCCCCCCCCCCCACCCCATCATCAACACACAGCCCCTCTCCCTCTCTGGGTCTAGAGTCCCCAGCTGCTCCATCTCTCCACGGCATCATCTCTGCCTCCATCTCTGGTGTCACTGTTTCTCTGGGTAGGGTCCCACATTCCGTTCTTCTCCCTTCATGGTCCCAGGGACCTCAGCTCCTGGATTGCAAAGTCAATCACTCTCCTCTTTTTGCTACAAAACGTCTACCTGTACATTTCCAGCCCTCACACTCAGTCATGATAACAGTTATTCACCATTGTACCAGAAGGGACCTAGCCCCATTTCCTTGCATTTCACCTGTCTCTTGAGAAGTCAAATGTGCCTTCAATCCTGAACTCTCCCCATCAGTGCACTGGCCTCCCTCCCAGCTCCATGTGTGCTGGTCACTGCTCCCACTGGCTAACTGCTGCCCAGTCCCCTGTTGGGGCTGGGATGGTGCTCTGCAGCTGTCTCGGGGGTCAGGCCTGGGTCTCGAGGGTCTTGCGGGTCTTGCTCTCCGGCAGGGGCTGACCGGGAGCTGCAGACCGTGAGGCGGAACATGATTGACTTCTTGCAGAACAGCCTCGGGGGCGCCTGGCCTCCAGCCTGCCCCTTACTGGAACCTGTTCCGTGAGTACCCCGCCCCTCCCAGTCGAGCAGTGCTCACTGAGGTCATTCTACAAGATGCACTGGGGCCTGCCGCTCCAGGAAGCTCTAAAAGCTTTTCATCTCTTCAAAGGCCCCACGACGTCCTGTCTCTGTGTGACAGCCAAGGTGGCCCTTATGTGGCTGTGATGTTTGAAAGCAACAGTTCCTATGTTGGACGAGAGGTACTGTTGTCCATCCTTCTCAGGAGATGTGCATTGATGGTGGGGGGGTGTGTCTCTAGACCAGCAGAGCACACAGGGTGCGTGTGGGAGCACATGGTCAGCCAGGTTCTGTGCTCCCAGAAAGCGGGACGCCAAGACTCTGGATGGGGCCTGTGTGTCCTGCCCACGTCTGGGACTGACGCCTGTGCCTGGCCAGGCTGCACACTTGCGCTCTGTGCACACGGCTCTCCTCTCCCCCTCCCCAGCTGACTATGGTGCTGCCCACAGCGTTTCTGGGACTGTCGTCTTTACAGAAGCAGCCTACCCCGTCTTTCTCCTTTGGGGCTGCTGGTGGGATTGAACCCCTGACCTTTCAGTTAGCAGCTGAGCACTGTAACTACTGCACCATCACGCTCCTTAGCTCTGACCCACTGGGACTTGCTCCTGTGGGAGGTGGCTGGGTCCTTGTTGGTGCTTTCGAGGCAGGGGGTAAGTCTGTACTGCCGACTGCGCTCAGCACCTTCCCAGTGGTCAGCCAGGGTCCCTGGGGGGAGGGACCAGTGACCATGGCAGAGCAGGCCCGCTCCCCTCAGGGAAATGAGAAGGAAAGATGACCTACCTCACAGGGTCACTCCACAGACCCCAGCAACACCGCCCTGTGGAGGGTGCACGTCGCTCCAGTCTGTATTTGGTGGGTTCTGGTGACTGTGGACTCTGACGGCCGTGCTCCATTTTTCCGTGAGGAAGGAAGCCGGTCTGTGTGCACTTCCTGTGTGCGCGGTGACTGCTGGGAAGTCTGGGTGAGTGTGGTGGGTGCTGACGGGTGTCTCACACCAGGTGATGCTGGATATGGTCCCCTATGAGAACATGTTGGTGAAGAGGGCACTGGATTCAGATGGAGCATTGCTTAAGAAACTGGGCGTGTCTTCAGTCCCTTCCTGTTACCTGATCCGCCCAAACGGGACTTGCAGCGTCATTAACATGTAAGTGGTTGTGTGGGCTTCAGAGATCGGAAGGAACCTTTAGCAGGACTCCACCCTTGGAACCTTTGGGTGCCTGTTCTCTATTCACTAGGTTTCCCAACAACCCCCACCGAGCAGATCCCCGCCCCGCCCCTCTTGGCTGGGTGCTTTGTGGGCTCTTGTCTGCAGCTGAGTCCCCCAGAATCTCTGCCTGTGGCACGTGGCTGGACATTGGGTGCCTAAGATGATCACAGAGTGATGTCTGGGGCGTGTGATGGTTCCCTCCAGTGGCTATCGCCCCTGAGTCCCGGTGTCCCACACAGTAGTGACAAGACAGCACGTGTCCAGCCCCTGGAACTTCTGTCTCTGAGCATGGGTCGGTGGAGTAGGGTCTGCCCAAGCCTGGCATGCCCCACACTGGAGCTGCCTTCCTGCTCTGGAGACAGACGGGTGAGGTCCCTGGGGGAGGAGTGGTCTGTCTCACACTGTGGTCCAGCTCAGCAGTAACCGGGCCAGCCACCCACAGCTCTACGTATCTGGTGCTGGGCCTTTCTCTGACGGATGCCATGAGGTGTTGAGAACCATGCTCGCAGAGTATTGGAAACCTCGTGTCTGTAGCTTCCCTTCCCAGTGTTCTCGGGCTCCAATCCCCAGAAGAAGCTGTCGGGCCAGTTGGTACCTGTGCCCAGACTTGTGGGCATGTAGGGAACGACAGTGTGAGGACGGTGGATGGACACAGTGACCAGAAAGTCCCGCCCTGCAGGATGGGCTGGGGGCAGCCCGCGGAGGCCACACACGCCCCGTCAGGTAGCCACTCTGCTGTTTCTCTCCCACAGCGCGAAGCCTCTCCGGTCCTTTTTCTCCTCTTACTTAAAGTCATTGCCTGGAGTGAGGAAGAAACCACTCTCCCAGCCTGAGCTGCTGAGTAGAGAGGAGGAGAGCGTGGGGACCACAGTCTGGAGGGAATTTGACAGGTACGCATCCCCTCGCTGCCTGGAGGCGAGTGTAGGAAAGTGGGGGGAGGGTGGTAACCCGGTCCTGGTCCTGTCCACTCACCCAGGTCCCGGCTGTACACCGCTGACCTGGAATCCACGCTGCACTACCTCCTGCGTGTAGAGCTGGCCTCCCACCGGTCACTGGAGGGGGAGGAACTGAGGACGCTCAAAGACTTCGTCACGCTGGTTGCCAAGGTACGTCTGTATCTCCACAGTACTGATGGTGGTGCCACCTGGAACTCAGACAGCGGACTTTCCCAGCTGGTTGAGGAGAGACTGTGATCTCTTCAGTCAGCTAAGCATCAGCTGCCAACTGAAAGGTTGGAGGCTCAAATCCAGCAGGCACTTTGCTGGAGAAAGATGAAGATGAGGCAGCCTGCTTCCCTAAAGGTTCACAGCCGTCAGAGCCCATGGGCAGTCTACCTTGGCCCGTAGGAACACTGCGAGTTGGAATGACTCATGGCGCTGAACTTGGTTTCAGTAAAAGCCTTGGAGCTGCTAACTGCAAGCTTCCACCTCTCAAATCTTCAGTCATCCGGGTAGATGGCTCTCCCTGCCCTGCCCTGTTGCTCACTGGGGCATCTAAACACACAAAGCTATCAGATTGGTAACGTAGGAAAGGAAAGAAGGCAGAGTGGACAAGGGTTCTGTTCCAGCTGGGGACGATTTAGGTCAGGCACCGAGGTCCCTGTACCTTTCCCGGGCCCCTCCTACACTGGCCGTTCCTGACTGCTGACCTTTTTGCCTCGAAACCTCCCTGGTCCTGTGTGTCCTATACCAGCAGCTGCTGCATCCGGGACACGGGAGGTGGAGGTTGAGCAGGCGGGCTTAGAGCGCATTGCCCAGCATGCAGCAGGCGACAGTTTCCGGAACGGTCCCAGAGCCTTGTTTACCATGATAATCCAGTCACTATGAGGAGGGACAGCTGCCGGAGCCGTGTGAGACCCACAGGAGGACAGAAAGGCAGAGAAGTGGGACACAGCCCCCAGCCCCTCGGCCGTCTCACCTGTTCTGGGAAAGAGGCCCACCCCTGACTAAGACTGACTCGCAGGCCCAGCCCCCAAGCCCGTGTCTAACCATGGCCTTCTCATACAGCTGTTCCCCGGCCGGCCGACGGTCACCAGGCTACTCGAGCTGCTGCAGGAATGGCTGGCCAGCCTGCCCCTGGACAGGATCCCCTACGACGCTGTCCTGGATCTGGTCAACAACAGGATGCGGGTGAGCCCTCCCTCCCTGACCTGCCCCGAGCCCACCCCAGAGACCCCACGGCTGGGCACCTCCATCCTCCCGTAGCCAAGTTCTGACCTCACCAGGCAGTTCCATGAGCCTTCAGTGAACTTACCTGCATCTCACACCTGAGGTCCAGTAAGAAGGAGGTGGAGCCAGGCTGCTTCCCCACACTCCAGGGCCATCCCGCCCACAGCGTCCGTAGCCTGGTGGACGCTCACTGTGGCTCTGCCGGCTAGGTCACCTGCCTTAGCCAGCACAGGGGAAATCGTAGGCCAGTTCTCTGTTCTGCACGTGATCCTCCGCAGGCAGGGGGCGTTTCCTCCCTGGACTCTACGTCAGTCAGCTCATGTGTCACGGGGCACTCCCTTGGTCCCGGCTGAGGGCCAACCGCCATGTCTCAGTTCCCTGTGGGCCCCCTTCTAACTGGTTCTAGCTCAAGGGCAGGGTGAGATGGTTGGTCTACGAAGATGCGGATAAGCTTTCACCCCCACACCCCATTGAACATAACAGGTCACATTTACACATTTGGGGGACTTCTGCTGGCACTGTTGGTTAATGCGTTGGACTGAAAGGTTACTTTGAACCGTAAGGTTAGTGGTTCAAGCTCACCAGCCACTCCTCGGAAACCCTGTACAGGAACCGACTCGACGGCACTTACCAACAACAACATATTAAAATAGGAGTCTGGTGTGGGATAAAGCACTGGGCTGCAAGGTTGGTTTGAGCCACAAGGTCGACAGTTCAAACTCGCCAACTGCTCCTCGGGAACCCTATAGAGGTTTTACTATGAGTCAGAACCGACTCTATGCCACTTAGCAACACCAACATGTTACAATGGAGACTTCTTGTCAGCTGGTTGTGACTGCAGCCCCAGTTAAGCTCTGGCCAGTTCTTAGTTACTTCCCATTTGTTTTCAGATTTCTGGAGTATTCCTTACCAATCAGGTCCAGTGGGTTGGATGTCAGGGGAGCAGACCAGAGTTGAGGGGCTACCCGTGTGGCCTCTGGAAGTTGTTCCACACCCTGACGGTCCAGGCTCGTGCATATCCGGAAGCGCTCAGTGGCACAGGTGAGGCAGCCGCATGGGTCCCGTGTCCTGCCCAGTGTCACCTCAGGTACCATCAGGAACCCAGTGCCAAGGTGGACAGGGTGGGCAGTTCTACCCTAACTCACAGGCATGTGCATGGCTCATCTGTAGGAGAGGCCCAGGTAGGAAGGACCTGCCGCAGAATTCCCCCTTTTCTGAACAGACTTTGGAGTCTGGGGAGACTGCTGGGCCCCCAGTACTGCAAGCTGCCCCAATAGCACGTGTTCTTTCTGTCTCCGTGGCTCGGGTTCTGCTCCTGCTCACTCATGAGGTGCTTCATGCACTGAAGCCTTGGCTGAGGGAAGGTGAATTTGCAGGACCCACCTCCTCACCACGTGGTCTGTCCGTACGACAGGGTGCATCCCCCTCCATGTCCCACCTTCATTCACGGGAGGTCCGTGGGACAAGAGCTGCAGGAGGTTCAAAATCGACATGACTCTACAGCTGGAGTTGGTCATTTCTGATGACCACAAAGTGGCAGAATCACCGTTCTAAATGTTTTTATCCTTCTTCCCCAGACACGAAGAAGGTGTTGGGTTTTTATCCATGTTGGACTTTATTGTATGGTACCTCCCTATTTACGCTGACCCCGTCAGCTAGGCGGGGGGCTTCTTCTGTTTTCTGATCACTCAGGTTCGCTGATGTTCACAGTCTGCTGACTCACATAGCCCTCGATTCTCCCCATGTGGAAAACCAGTTTCCCTCATTGCCCAACAAATGAACCCAAAACAGTGGTGGAAACAATGGCCTCCCCCTGGTGTGTAGTTCTGTGGGCCGGGTTGAGCTGGGCTCCGCTGGGCAGCTCTCCTGCTGGTGTTGCCCGGGATCCACCACAATCTACAGGCCTCAGCCCAGGCCCCTCCGTGACCACACTCAGGATGGTCACTCAGCCTCACGCCACGTGCTGTGGATCAGAGCCCAGCGCGTGCCGAGAGCAGTGGAGTTCCCTTTCACAGGAGGCGTGCCCGAGTCACATGGCAAAGGGCCAGTGTCCAGGAGGGGAGGAGCTGTCTGGCCAGCCTTGGGAGACTTCACTGCCCCAAGCCTTTCCTTGGCAATGACATTGGATTACTGCTTCCTAGCAGTTTGCTGGGCTCGGGGTGGGCTTTAAACATCAGGGAAAGGGTAGCATGCTTTTCGGGAGAATCCCAGGAGTTGCTGAAACAGAAATTGAAATCGGAACATTGACACTGCCGGGTTACACAGTAGCCAGACCATGTGGACCGGGGCCATCCACACCCGGTCAGGGCCATCACCACCGCCTTGACCCGGGTGTCCACACCTGGTCAGAACCATCAATGTCGTCTAGACCCGGGCTGTCCACACCTGGTCAGAACCATCGATGCCGTCTGGACCCGGGCTGTCCACACCTGGTCAGGACCATCAACACCGTCTGGACCTGGGCTGTCCACACCTGGTCAGAACCATCGATGCCGTCTGGACCTGGGCTGTCTACACTTGGTCAGAATCATCGATGTTGTCTGGACCTGGGCTGTCCACACCTGGTAAAGACCTTTGACGCCATCTGGGCCTCAAGTACTGAAGTCTCCTCTCTCCGTGTCAAGTTCTCAGGGACACAGGGAAGGTGACACTGCCAGTGTCTTCCCCAGGGGCCACTTAGTAGCAGTGAGACAAGACTGGGGCGCTGGGAGGTGCCACCAGGACCAACACTGTAAAGCTACATGCAGAGCCGCGGATCCATCCAGACGGTGGTGTCAGCGAAGGGGTGGGCAGTGGGACGGCAGAGAGAGCCCCGGAGTGGATCACAGATGTGGTCTTTTAGGAAAGGTACGAGGACAGTTCAGTGGAGCCAGGTTGTCTCTTCAGCCTTTGGTACTGACCCGCTGGACATCCACAAGTAGAAAATGACTCAGACTTCACAACTTTCAAAAAAAATTGAACTTGCCTAAATGTGACGAAACTATCCGACTTTTAGAAAGGAATAGGAAAACAGTTCTTTGGCCATGGGTCTGACATTGAATTTATATACAGAAGTATATCCGTGAAAGAAAAGTTTGACAAGGAAATTATAGACGTCATTCTGTTGATAAAAGAGCAGAAGACAGGCCATGCATCTGATGAGGGAACTTGTACCAAAATACACCGTACGAGAAGCTCTACAGTGGGCAAAGATCCAAAGGTAACTCTCCTAAGAGGACAGACAGGTGCGCATAAGCACATGAAAAGCCCCCCAACACCCCCTGGAATGGCTAAAACACAGTGCACTGAGTGCTTGGGGGCGTGGGGGTGGAGCAGCAGGAACGCTGGTCCACGGCCAACCAGCTTTTTACAAAGAGAAACGGCTTCTTCAAGCCAGCAGTCGGCTCCTAGGGACATCCCCACGTGAGTTAAAAATCTGTGTCCGCATGAAACTGCGCACATGAACCCTTGTAGCAGCTTCATTCATAGTAACCGAAACTTGGAAGCATCCAAGATGTTCTTCAGCAAGTGAGCAGATAAATGGATCCATCCGTATGGTGGAGATTCCACAGCTATGGAAACCATGAACCACCAAGCCATGAAAAGGCCTGGCTGAGCCTTCCATGGAGGTTGCTGAGTGAACAGAGTGAGTTAGGGAGAGCTGAGAAGAGTCCATGTGTCTGCGGTACAGCGTTGGGCGAGGGCTGTCAGAAGAGCAAACAGAGCTGCTTCGGGAGAGTTTTCTGTGGAAGTGATGATGGGGAGACTCTCATGTACTTCAGACATGGGATCCGAAAAAGACAGCATGCCTAGCAAGGTCAGCAAAAGGGAAGCCCCCAGGGAGATAGAGGGACACAGTGGCTCAAACGTGACCGGTGTGAGGATGGGCAGGGCTGGGCAGAGTTGTCCTGGTAACCCCCGGGGCCACTATGAGTCTGGGCCAAGTCGACGACATCTGACAGTGAAACAGGTCAGAGGGGCTAATAGCCTGTGGCTCCAAGCACAGCACATTCTGGGAAAGGCAGAACTGGAGAAACGGAATGTGTCAGTGGTCAGCAATGGAGGGGTGTGTGGGGATGAGCAGGTGGAGCCCACGACTTTTCTAGGGCAGTGACACTAATGGTGAACACATGACATGCACTTCTCAGTGCTACAAAACAGCGTGCCATGAACTGGACGTCAGTTTCCTAGTGACCCCACACACAGCAGAACGAAGCTGCCGCAGTGTCCGTCCCTCTCATTGGGGCTCTTCCTCTTCCTCTCTGTCCCTCCACTTTACCTAGCATGATGTCCTTCTTCAGGGCCTGGAACCTCCTGATAGCGTGGCTGAAGTATGAGAAATGACGTCTGCTAACCCTGGCTTCTAATGAGCATCCTGGCTGCGTTTCTCCTAACCCAGATTTGTTTGTTCTCATGGAGGGCCACGGAAGTCGGTCTTAACATTTCAGTGTTGCTTTGTGAGTTGTAACAAACAACTTCAGGAACGCAAAGGGTCATGGTAAAGGAGACTGCTCAGGGAAGAGGCTAGGGGAAGACACATGGGAGCTCAGTACTGTATGCCCAGTGTTTTTGTAAAGCTGAAATTACTCCAGAAAACTAAAACACTGAAATTTAGAAGGAACTGTATGGGCAGACGCCCGTGCAGTGAGAAGGTGCGGGTAGTGGTAGGACCAAGCACGTGGCTGCGTCTTCCCCTTTCAGAAGTGTGAGCTGAAGACTCTGGAGCCAAGGAGGGGGGCTTCTGTGAGAGAACTGGATCAGACGAGGGAGTGGATTAGGTTCTGGAGGTCCTGCTCCTTATTGCGTGCTTAAATCCCACCCACTGGGAAATGTGCTCGCCTCTAATCCTCCCAGGTGGAGGCCTGGGGTCTTGTCCACTCTCAAGATTAGGGTTTCCACATGCAGTGGTTCGCTCGGGCCAAGAAAAGGAGATTACTCAGTGATGTGCAGCAGCTGTTCCCAGAGGCCCCAGGAGGGACTTGGACACTCCTGGCCAGCGGCAAGCTGCATGGCGCTTGGTATGTGGCTCCCTCAGCCTTACTGTCCACCCCTGGATTCACTCTGGCCTGAGGAATAAAGGAGGGCCACACATCCTCAGACTCTGGTCCCAGCTGCCTGCATGTGCTGTCCTAAGTAGTCGGGAGCCTGTGAGGGCCTGTGTGTGAGCACAGACCTCACCAGGGCCTGCTGCTGACCGCCGAGAATTGGTCAGCAATGATTGTGCTGTGTTTCTTTAATGCCACATCTAATCTGATTTAATCTCATGGCACTCTGTGCGCTGATTCAATCCCTGATTAGATGTCTGCACAGGCCCTCTGGACCACCTGCCCCTGGATGTCTCTGGATCCCTATTCAGTATTGTAGTGAGAGCTGCCTCCAGCCTCAGGGGTGGCCTTCCTCAGGTGCCCCTGCGTCCCCTCCACAGCTCTCTCTGACCAGTGAACCCATAGGTGCTGGAGTTCAGTGTAGAGCCACCTCACCGCGGGCACCGGGACTGCTGACCCCACTTGGAAGGCGTCCTCAGTTTGCAAGACTCAGAGCAGTAGCATCAGTGTGGGGTTCTATCTGGTTGTGCTGGGGAGACCAGCACTGAGTCCACGTGGAGGGCCACGGCCACTCAGTGTCCTCTAGTTGCTTTGGCATTTAGGACCTGCCGGCTCCTGCTTGCATCATAGTGCCTCGTGTTGAAAGCAGCCCCGATGTCTCCGGCTATTGCCGGCCCCTGGATACACTCAGTCTCTCTACTAGCAGGTGTCTGGCCACTTGTTCCCTGGCACTGATGGTGTTCCTTCTCTGCAGGTTTTGAAGGTGCCCCCCAGGCGGTGCTGCAGACCCTGAGGAGGTATATCCGCACCTTCTTTGGGTGCAGAGAATGTGGCGAGCATTTTGAGGAGATGGCCAAGGACTCCCTAGAAGCAGTGAAGACCCCCGAGCAGGCAGTGCTCTGGCTTTGGAAGAAACACAACATTGTGAACAGCCGCCTGGCAGGTGAGGTACACCTGCTCCTGGGAGATAAAGCCCATCTTCCCAAGCTGACAGGCCCGCAGTGGGGCAGGTGTTGGAGAGGGTACTGGGCCTCAGGGGAACCTGGAGCACAATCAGTGAGGAGTCGCTCTCAAACCCAACCCAATCTATCAGGGTGATGGTGCTTAAAACACGAGAAATGGGGCGCTCATCTTTTCTTAGAGTTAGTTATGTAAACTACTCGTCAATCAATGGCAGGTTACAATTAGGCTTAAAAATAATTCCACTGGGAAATAAATTGTAATAGTGATGAACCGAAAGCATCCTAAATGGTGGTTATTTAATCCATCGCACTGTGGACACATTATGGCCAGAGCTCTCAGAGAAATTGTGTTGTCTGCACAGTGCACCAACCAGATCGCATGCTGCAGGCACCTTCTCCATCCTCAGCAGCTGAGATCGTAAGGTGCTTCCAAGGTGGCCCTAGTAAGAGCTTCCTGTCCTTCCTAAATGTCTCTGAAGCCCCCGTTCCTCCACGGTCCTCAGTGCCCCGTTTCCCAGAGTGGTTGGTGCGGTGACCTAGCTGAGCCCGGGCCAGTCCAGCCTGTTTCCGGAGCCCAGGTCCACCTCCTTCATCGAAGGGGCATTCCATGCCTGTCCCTCCATCTGCTCACACCTCCCCTCACCCCGTCAGCCATTTATACTGGGCGTCACACAAAGACTCCATGCTAGCCCCTCAGTCAGTCTTCAGCTGTCTCTTGATGGGTGGCAGGTTCCTGAGGACCCAAGTCCTCTGTGTCAGTCTTCCATCCCAGTCCCAGCTTATGTGCAGCACGCAGCTGGGAGCCTAGCCATACACAGGGGTGTTGGACACTGGACGCCTCGTAGACTCCAGCCCACCTGTGTCTGCCAACAGTAGGAAATGGACTCACGCTTGCTTTTCTCAGCTCTCTGAAGGCTGTGAGGGGCACACATCAGATGGAGCACAGGGGCGTGTTTGTCCCCTGGGCACATGTAGCAGACACCTGACCCAGGTGTCCCGGGTGAGGAGTGGCTCAGAGAAGACTTCGTGTGGTGTGGCATCCAGCTGGTGCAGTGGCTATCTGTGCAGGCACACTCTGACCTCTCAGGAGCCTCGTCACTGCTGCTCGGCCTGTGTTTACTGGTGACAGAGTTGAGTGGAGGGACAGATGTGTCTAATGCTGCTACTGGGGGTTCTATGCCGTGGAGTTTGTTCCAACTCAGAGTGACCCTGCATAGGGTTTCTGAGACTATAAATCTTTACAGGAGCAGAAAGCCTTATCTTTCTCCTGCAGAACGGCTGGTAGTTTCAAACTGCTGACCTTGAGGCTAGCAGCCCAACTCGTAATCACTTTTCTGAAGGCGGTTTAGATGTTGGTTATCAGGTGCCATCAAGTTAGTTTCTGACTCCCATGCACAACAGAACAGAGCCCTGCCCGGATCCGCGTCCCCCCCCCCCACACACACACACACATATACACGTTCTGTTTCGGCCCATTTTGGCAGCTACTGTGGCAGCCCATCTCATTGGGGGGCTTCCTCTTTTTTTGCTGACCCCCCACTTTACCAAACATGATGGCCTTCTCCAGGGCCTGGTCCCTTCTGACATGTCCAAATAAAAGACAGAGTCTCACCATCCTGGCTTCTGAGGAGCATTCTGGCTGTACGTCTTCCAACACAAATTTGTTTGTTCTTCTGGCGGTCCATGGTGCCTTTTCGATATTCTCCAACATCACGATGTAGATGCATCGATTCTTCTACGATTGGCTTTATTCGTTGTCCAACTTTCACATACTTAGGGGTGATTGAAAAGACCAAGGCTTGGGTCAGGCGTACCTTAGTTCTCAAGCTGACCTCTTTGCTCTTGAACACTTCGAAGAGGTCTTGTGCAGCACATTTGCCTAATGCAATACGTCCTTTGATTTCATGACTGCTGCTTCTGTGAGTGTCGATAGTGTATCCAAACTAAATCAAGTCTTTGTCATTTGTCATGATGTCATTTATTGGTCCAGTTGTGAGGATTTTTGTTTTCTTTACATTGAGGTACAATCCCTACCAAAGATGGTGCTCTTTGATCTTCATCAGTAAGTATTTGAAGTCCTCTTCACTTCCAGCAAGCAAGGTTATATCATTTGCATATCATGAATTGGTAATGAGTCTTTCTCCAACCCTGATGCCACATATAGCCCAGCTTCTCAGCTGCTTTGCTCGGCATACAGAGTGAATAAATAGGGTGAAAGGATGCAATCCTGGCATACATCTTTCCTGAGTTTAAACCATTCAGGATCCCTTTGTTCTGTTTGAATGACTGACTCTTGGTCTATGCACAAATTTCTCATGAGCACAGTGAAGTGTCCCGGAATACTCTGTAATGTTCATAGTTTAATGATCCACACAGTCAATAAAGCACAGGGAGCATCTTTCTGGTATTCTCTGCTTTCGTTCCACGTCCTCTTGAAGCAGCTTGCATTTCTGGCTGTTCTCTGTCAGTGTACTGTTGCAATCCTTTTTGAATTACCTTTAGAAAAAGTTTACTCGCATGTGATTTCGATGCCATTGTCCGATGAGTTCCACATTCTGTTGGCTCGCCTCTCTTAGGAATGGGCACTTTGTGGGTCTCGTCCAGTCAGGTGGCCAGGCAGCTGTCTTCCAGATCTGTTGTCATAGATGAATGAGACCCGGTGCTGTATCAGTTTGTTGACAGATTTCAATTTGTATTCTGTCGATTCTGGAGTCTTGTTTTACTCCAGTGCATTCAGTGCGCCTTGGACTTAGTCCTTCAATGCTGTTGTTGGGGTTTATTTATATTTATATATATATATATATATACCACCATTATTCAATTTTATGTACTAACCACTAAAGTCAAAAATGATCAAGTTGAAGAATTTTGTCACTTTCTTCAGACTAAAATTGATCAAACATGCAATCAAGAGGTATTGACAGTTACTGCTGATTGAAATGGGAAGGTTGGAAAAGGGAAGAATCAGTATTTGGAAGATATGGCCTTGGTGATAAGAAATGTAAGTGGAGGTCACATGATAGAATGTTGCAAGACCGGTGACTTCTTCACTGAAAATACCTTCTTGTCGACAATATGGACAGTGACTATGTGCGTGGACCTCACCTGATTGCACAGAAGTCACACTGACGGTAGAAGTCGAATCTGACTCCCCGCATATTGTTAATTAAATTGCATTTGAACTCCTTCACACACATTCATGCTGTAAAAGCAGAGAGACTGTTTGGCCCCTGCTCCAAAGGATCTGAGCGCGGCTGCCTCACTGGCCGTGTCTCCCTGGCCTCCCCGACTCCTTCATGAGGCTCTGTTACAGCAGCCTGGTTTTGCTTCCTTGTCTGTGCTAACCCCATCCTGCTGTAGCACTGCTATTGGCTCTTGGTCATACGCTGCCTCTCGAAATGGTTTCTCTTTGGTACAGTGACTGTGTTTGCCTTCCATCTTTTGATGCTCTCTGCATCATGCAGCGTTTTGTCCATACAGTCCTTCCATGTTGTAAGTCCAGGCTGGAAGTGTCTTCAGTTCTCTCAGCTTGAGAAATGCTGAACTTCTGTGCTCTTCGTCTTCTGACTCCACGTCTTTGCACGTTCCATTAGAATACTTTGTCTTCTCAGGCTGTCCTTTGGAATTTTATGATCAGCTCTTTTGTTTCCTCATTTCTTCCATTAGCTTTAGTTTTTTTACACTCCAGAGCAAGCTTCAGAGTATCTTCTGACATCCATTTTTGGTTTTAATTTCCTTCCTGTCCTTCTAAGGACCTTTTGCTCTTTGTGTAGGATGTTCTTCTGGTGTTTGGTCATCAGTGTCTAATGTATCAAATCTGAATTCAGGTGGAGTATGTTCAAGGTCATATTTTGGCTTTCGTGGATTTGTTTTAATTTTCTTCAGCTGCAGCCAGAACTTGCGTATGAGCAATTGGTGGTCTGTTCCAGAGTCTGCCCCGGCCTTGTTTTGACTGATGATGTGGAGCTTTTACATCTGGTGAGGTCTATGTATATAGTCACCTTTCATTGTTGTTGTTAAGTGTTGTTTAGTTGGTTTTGACTCATAGTAACCCTGTGTAGGGTTTCTGAAGAACAGCTGGTGGGTTTGAACCACCGACCTTGTGGCTCACAGTCCAGTGCTTATCCTATAGTGCAACACCAGGAGACCTTTTATGTTATTTAAAAAGATATTTGCAATGAATAAGTCATTGGTCTTGCAAAATTCTATCATGCGATTTCCAACATAGTTTCTGTCACCAAGGCCATATTTTCCAAACTTCACATCCTAATCATCGATAATTATCGATACATTTTGATTGCATGTTTGATCAATTTCAGACTGAAGAAGTTGATAGAATTCTTCAGTTTCGTCATCACTGGCTTAAGTGGTTTGTGTGTACATTTGAGTTAAGTGGTATTTACTGGTCTTCCTTGTAGGCGTGTGGATATTATTGTATCACAGACAAGATAAATCTTGAAATGTTCTTTTTGATGATGAATGCAACACCATTCCTCTTCAATTTGTCATAGTAAGCCATTGATTATCAGATTTAAAATGGTCAATGCCAGTCCATTTCAGCTCACTAATGCCTAAGATATCAATCTTAATGTGTTCCATTTCATTTTGACAACTTCCAATTTTCCTGAATTCATAATTCATATATTCCATGTTCTAAATATGAATGGCTGTCTGCTGCTGTCTCTCCTGTGTCTGTTTGTTGCACTGTGGTGGCAGGCAGGCAGGTTACTGTCATTCTGGAAGCTATGCCACCGGCATTCTAAGTTCCAGTAGGGTCACCCACTAATGACTGAAAACCAGAAGAGTTGTGTGATGACATCAAGAGCAACATACAGGAAGAAAACAAGAGGTTATTAAGAAGATAAGAAAGAAGGAAAAAAAACAAAATGGATGTCAGAAGAGACTCTGCAACTTGCTCTCCAGCATAGAGATGTTAAAACAAATGGAAGAAACGAAGAAGTAAACGAACTAAACAGAAAAATGTAAAGGGCAGCTTGAGAAGAAAAAGTCAAATAGTATAAGAGAATGTGCAAAGGCCTGGGATTAGAAAATCAAAAGGGAAGAACACACTTTGCATTTCTCAAGCTGAGGGAACTGAAGAAAAATTCAAGCCTGAGCTTGCAATATCAAACGATTCTATGGACAAAACATTGAATGATGCAGAAAACAGCAAAAGAAGATAGAAAGACTACACAGAGTCAGTGTACCAAAAAGAGATGGTCAGTGTTCAACCGTTTCAAGAGGTAACATATGATCAACAGCCAATAAATAATACTGAAGGAAGAAGTCCAAGGTGCACTGAAGGCAAAGAACAAGGCTCCGGGAATTAATTTACTACAAAGTGATGCAACAATGGAGACATTCACTCATCTGAGCAAAGGAATTTAGAAGACAGACTGATTGAAAGAGCTCCACATTTGTGCTCATTCCAAAGAGACGTGACCCAATGGGATGCAGAAATTCCTGGATAATATCATTTGTATCACTTGCAAATAAAATTTTGCTAAAGGTAGTTCAAAAATGGGTGTCAGAGCTTCAAGCTGGATTCAGAAGAGGCCGTGGAAGGGGGGGCATCACTGCTGATGTTAGGCGGATCTTGGCTGAAAGCAGAAATGTTTACCTGTGCTTTATTGACTATGCAGAGACTTCAACTGTGTGCATCATGACAAGCTGTGGACAACTTACAGAGAACGAGTGTTCTGGAACACTTCATTGTGCTCATGAAGAACCTATACATAGTGCAAGAGGCAGTTGTTTGACCAGAACAAGGGGACACTGAATGGTTTAAAATCAGGAAAAGTGTGCACCAGGGTTGTATTCTTTCACCAGACTTGTTCAGTCTGTGTGCTGAGCAAATAATCTGAGAAGCTGGATTACATGAAGAAGAACTTGGCATTAGAATTGAAGGAAGACTCATCATCAATCCGCGATATGCAAATGATACAACCTTGTTTGCCGAAAGTGAAATGGGCTTCAAATACTTACTGATGAAGAGCCAAGACCACAGCCTTCAGTGTGTACCAATATGTAAGTAACATCAGGATAAATGGAGAAACAATTGAAGTTGTCAAAGACTTCATTTTGCTTGTATCCACTACCAACAAGCAGCAACCGTGAAATAAAGGATATATTGCACTAGGCAACTGTGCTCCCTTTAAAGTTTTCAAGAGTAACATGTCAGGTTGAGAACTAAGGTACACCTGACCCAAGCCATGGTATTTTGTTTCCAAAGAGCACAGCCTTCAATATGGATTACATTTCATTGTCAAGAAAACAAGAA